TTAGTTGCTGTTTTTTTTCCTGCTGCTTGGACACAGGTGTAAAAATGAACGTTTTCAGGCAAAAGCGCGCTTTAAAAAAATCGTAACTATTAATAAATCTTAACCAGTCACGGTAGACAATTGACACATTGAAACCGCGTTAGATCCTCAATTTTTGCTGCTGATTAAACTCGGATCTTAAAATGAAAGTTTTCGGGCAAAAAAAATGCAAAAGCGATTGAAAGTGTTGTGGGGGTCTGATATGCATCGTTTTTTCAAACACTCCGTATATCCGACTACAGACTGTTTAATTTAAATCGACTGTCACAGCTGTGGACCCTAACAGAAGCGCTGTTGTCTTTCAATCCCCTTGTTTGCTATTGCTTCAAGCCCGATCCTTCACTTCGAGATTCGCAAAATATTCTATGGAGCGCTATTCTGGCATGCCGATTTTCGCCCACTTGACTTTTAATGATAGGTAGTAGAAAAATAATTGCAAAAACAATAGACATCGGGGCTCTGTTGTAGCGATCAAAACTCGACACATCCGATGAATGGAATGATGATGATATATTTAGTGAATGGATCGCTCGTCTAGATGAGGCATTCCATAGGCACACGTCACACCAGAACAATGGACGCATTTTCTTTATCTTCTCGTCGTAGTAGGCATTGTTTTGATGCGTTTTACGTCGCTCAGATGCTCGAGCTGATCAGCTGGGTTCGATCAATTGTTTTTGGTGGCATCGAACAATCGATGTTTTTCGCTGGCAAATTTTTGCAGCCATTCGGGCTGACAATGTCATGATCGCGCTGACATCGCGACCACTTGATAGATGGCGCTACCGGCACTAATCATAAATCGCATAAATTGTGAGTGTTGTGAGGCGCGTTTCGAATCGGGCCTAACGAAGTGTCGAGCTGGGTGACTGGCATTTTTTTCCTACTAGTGACCTGCGCCCACTCGAAACAGCAAACCCGTTAGCAGAAACTGCCAGTCACAAGCAGCGAGTGGGAGGCACCAAGAAGATTGAAATTCAAAAAAAAATGCCCTTTAGATCTTCGGAATCAGTCAACACTCAACACGCGTTGGTTGATTTTTATATTTGACACCTCAGTGTGCTTATCTCGAGTAAAATAGCCAGTTAGAGAGCGCATTATCAGACCGAACATGCCCCTATTCGTTCCGAACCAGATTCGGGCAATAAAACAAAGACGCATCGTCGTCGCACAGCCTCCACTGTACCCACGACGCATCTCATTAGTGTCTAATGGGTACGTGCGATGGGCGCGTTCTATTGGCGAGAACTGGCGCGGCCTGACCAATGGACGCACGAGGTCGTGCCCGATAGAAAATGGCCGGGCGAACCTGCACTCTACCGATTGGTGGACGGGCGACGTGCGGGGAGTGCCGGCGATTTGTTAAAAGTTGGCGGCGGATTTTTGTCGGTCGCTTGCCAAGTACCCGAATCGTGACTGAAAATGTTGCCGCACCATCGTCGGGTTTCACCGTTTATCGCCTTATTGCTTGCATCCGGGATTTTTGCTGATATTTTGCCATTTTTTTACAACCTTAACCTCTCAGTTTTACTGCTTTTGAGAGGAACAAATGAATTTGAAACTTGGCAATGGTAGGCATTGCTATGCAACCAGTCAACAAACATACACTGCCTAACTTGAGAAGAAATCCCCCAACTGCAACTGTAAACCTCTCTGATTAACCCCCCGAGGTTAAGACAGTAATTAATGGCTTTATGCTGATTTTTCGAGGATTTTCGGCTGGTTGCTTAGTGAAAACAGTCATTACACATGATGACGCATGGAAAACTTTTCATCCGCAAAATGCCCAACGTGAAAACGACCGATTTTCTTGCAAAAACTAACCTGAAAGCTGAAAGCTTCCTCCAATTCTGGTGCTAATAATGAACTTGTCAATGTTCAAGAGCAAGAACCCAATTGAAACGCATGCGATTCAAATGGTTCACTCCCATTTCGTGTCACGGCCCGAACCCGAAAAAAAATAGAAACCACTTTTAATTATTACATTCCGTTTGGTTCCGACTGTGTGAAGTGAAAATGATTAATCGAGATCGGGGCGGCGACTAATGGATCTAAGCGCTTTGCTTGTCGATCTCTCTTTCGGTTATTAATGTCTTTATTAAAACGACCATGATTTAATTAGTCGCTATATTGACATTGCGTGAGGATTCAAAAGTTGACACACCCTGTCAGCTGTCATTAAGTGTCACTGCTGACAGCTGTTGAGCAGGTATAACATCTATATCTCCAGGTTGAAGATATTTATGACGATTTGGCAAAAGCCGAACTCAAAAATGCTATATCTAATTGAATTATTAATGTTAAATCGTGACTCGCAAGATCCTGCATCCAGCATCAGCAGGTTCATTCATCCAGGCCTGTCGCAAGCATGTTATCCACGTTTCTAAAGAAGTTTTCTAACTTTTCGGCTGCGCCGAACAAGCCACTGCATCTGGAACTGTAAACCATTCGTGGTTGCGAAACGTCTGGAGAAATGCCTTTCTACGACGGCCTAAAACCCCGGAAATTCACCAGTTTTTAGCAATGGCCGCTAAAACCTAATTATACTGTTCCAGTTTGCAAGTGCGCAAAAAAATTGCAAGAAGTCTGTTGGACCACAAACGGGATTTTTGGGAAATTATGGCCGCACTTCAATTTTCGATCAGTGTACATTCACAGGTGGTTTGACGTTTGTTACACACGCGGCGCATCAGGATAGTGGTACTCATTAGGCACTGCTGGCAAATTGAAGTGGTCGTAATTCTAATTCTAATAATTAAGTACTATTGCAATATTTAAATTCAATCTACAGGAGCCCACTATACAGCTCGAATGGTTATAAACGTTTTCAAATAGTACAGAGTGTTCAGTTGATGCACCAGTAAATGTGCCAGCGTGGCTTCAACATGAAACCTGCGTCACAAATTAGAGGAGCGGCTAATTGTAGCCCCCTTGGAATACATTGTTGCCAGATTTTAGCTGATTTGAGGCGTTATTATAGAAAGAGAGAGAGAGAGAGAGAAAATGAGAAAGATATTAATATATATTTACCGAGTTATTTAAGATATTGATAAAATAAATTATTTCCGATTTAAAATGTCTACCAAAACTCAGTTTAAGATTTCTAATGTTGGAAGAATTTAAAAAAAATTAACTGAAATAATATACATTATAGTTTGAATAAATTTTACTTAAATAAAAACAGGGTAACAATATGCGCAACGATGTAAACAAACAAAATTAAATTTAAATAACCATTCTAATGTGAACTTAGCAGCAGTCTTTTAATGAAATTAAAATTTTCAGACCGTAAAGTTTGCACTGAAGTTCTTATTTCGTTAGAAATATAAAACATTGTTTCCTAAAGTTCTTCGATTGTAGGTATTCACTTCTGGTGAAGAGACTGTACTTTTTAAATGGTCCCAGAAGTAAAAATCAAGCGCGTTTAAATCGGGAGATCTGGGAGGCGAGTTTATAGGAGCTTCTTGACCTCTAGCAATCCAACGGCCTGGAAAGTGTTGATTAAGCCGAAACGAGTTAATTTTTTTGCGGGCAAACTAGTGTCCTTAAGAAAAAACAATAAGAGATAAAAAATTGATAAATAACTTGTAGTAAGTAAAAAAATTATGTTGATAAAAGTTTAAGTGCATACAAAAAAGTTCTGAACAAGACAAAAGTAGGAGTTCCACATTTCTACCCGGTATAAAAGTAAACTGAACTACAAAACACTACCATAGAATGGCCTTCAATTATCTTATAATGTGTACCAAAATTTAAGTTTCCAATGTTGAACCGTT